GCAATGCCCCCAAAATTCTGAGGGAAAATGGGTTTTAATCAAGAAGTCCACATTTAGTCAAACTAGCAATTCAGCATGACAGAATTATGATTTTTGTGGATGGTGGCGAGTGCCTGTGGTCCCAGTTACTCTAGAGGCCGAGGTGGGAGGATCACTTCAGCCTCGTAGTTCAAGGTTGCAGTGAACTATGACCGTGCCACTGCACTCTGGCCTGGGCAACGGAGACCCTCTCTCAAAAGAAAAATAGAAAAAGAAAAATGCTGAATTAAGATTTTTCAGACACGCATGGCCTAACAAACTCTATCTCCCTTGTATCTTTTCTTAGGAAACTACTTCAAGATAAGCTCCACCAAAACTAGAGAGGAAATCAAGAAGATTAAGACACAGGATCCAGCGCAATGCTCCAGCACAGGAGAGACAGAGAGAACGTTGGACAATCCACTGACTTCCTAGAAAACAGAAGAGTGGGCTGGGCATGGTGGCTCATGCCTGTAATCCCAGCACTTTGGGAGGTTGAGGTTGTTGGATCACCTGAGATCAGGAGTTAGGAACCAGCCTGGCGAAACCCCATCTCTACTAAAAATACAAAAATTAGCCGAACGTGGTGGCGCACGCCTGTAGTCCCAGCTACTCAAGAGGCTGAGGCGGGAGAATGGTGTGAACCTGGGAGGCAGAGGTTGTAGTGAGCCGAGATCGTGCCTCTGCACTCCAGCACGGGCGACAGAGAGAGACTCCGTCTCAAAAAAAGAAAAAAAAAAAGAGACAAAGTTTGGCCTTCCCATGCCCCCCCCGCCCCGCCCGCCCCACCCCCCACCCCCCACACTCCGATTCATTCTTTCAAGTTAGGCCTAGGGCAACATTAAAAAGCAAACCTGTAATCAGTATTTATATGATATGGCATTTTGTGTATTCGTTTCAGCTGAGTCAGTTGTATATCATGGTTAATTACCATTATTTTATAACTTTGGAAAGCCCCTTATCTTCCCGCTCCCGTGTGGACCACGAGTTCTCCAGGCCCCTGTATGGCTGTGGACCAAGACTTCTTTCATCATCACCTTGGGAACTGCTTTCCTCTCTCCTACTTTGGGTTCCCTATTTCCCCAAGTCAATGCCATCATTTTCTGGATTTACTCCTTTAGTTGTGGCGAGTTAAAGAGTGAATTGAGATGAGGGAGGTGGAAAGTAAGTACAGCCTCTTCTTCCGAGACATCTGCTTAGGAAGAGAAGGAAGGAGCCTCACGATGATGTATTTAGAAGCATGGAGGCAGAGACCAGCAGCAGGCCAGATAAAAAGTGAAATGTAGTTTCCGCGGGGGAGGTATGCAGCTGGGGACTGTTGTTTCTCAATTATGGGGCTTGTGGTGCCAATAAACCTCGCATGAGTAGCAACTCAGCAGGCCCAGGATACGTGTTGGAAGGAGAATAAGGGAAGGGTCAATTCTCTAGGCCGCGGGGAGAGCATGAGCAGAAGTCACTGCCAACGCTCCCACCACAGGAACCTAAGGGGAAGGCACGGCTCAGCGAGGGCAGTGAGAACGCCCCAGCTTCCAAGCAGGAGTCTAGACATGGTAAGGATTGTGTATATGGGAGCGGCTTGAACAGCTGAGGCATTGCCTTGGAAGATGAGAGGGGTGCAAGGTTTAAAGCAGGGAGCCCAGGGGGAGCCCACGGGCCTACTTCCAGGAGATGAGGGGTCAGAAATGAAGGCGCTCCACTGTGTTATCATGAAAGATGGAAATGAAACAGAACCGGCAGTCCTCAACTACAGACTGGATCTAGATAGAAGGGAAAGTGAGGAATCGAGGGTGATTCTTGGGTTTCTGAGTTAGATGACTGAATAGATGATGCTTTCCCCAATTCCAGAGTGTTTAGCAGGAGAGCTTGAAAGGGAAGAAGTGAGTTAAGTTTGGGACATGTGTTTGAGGTGCAAAGGGGATATAGTCAGGGGATGATGTCTAATAGGCACTTGGATACAGATCTGAGGTTTGGTAAGGAAGACTGGCTGAGATTCAAGTATGGGTGAGCCACAGAAGAAACCCAAGGCCAGGGCAAGGAGAGAAAACCACATGGGAGGAGGTAAAGGGTGAGCGATACAGGGAGGCACTGGCAGGGCCTTGGTCTCCATCCTCAAGGGGCCTTGGTCCCCGTCCTCAGGGAGTGGTTACCAGCGTCAAGTGCCATCAAAGGTCAGGAGACTCACTGCACAGCTCTTAGCTGAACTATCGAGGAGGCCTGGTGGAAGCAGAGGTCTAATGTGTAGTCGACGCAGTCCTCATTCTGCAAGTGTGGGCTGAGTGGAAGAGGCAGTCAGAAGCAAGGAGGTGGAGGCAGGACGTTGGGATTCTCTGAGAAGAAAGAATAGGGACACGAGGGAGTTGGGGAGTGGCTAAAAATTCAAGGTTTGACCTATTTCCATTAAAGATGGGAGAGATTTGAGGAAGTTTATATGCCAGTACAGAGAGTTTGAAAACGGGAGAGACAAAAGGACAAGTCTTACCACGTAATCCAGCAATCACACTCCTAAGTACGTACCCCGCTAATGTGAAAACATGTCCATGAAACACCCGCACATGGATGCTTATAGCTTTATTCATAGCTGCCAAGAACTAGAAGTGATCAATATGGCTTTCAATAGGTGAATGGATAAACATATGGTGGTACATCCGCACGATGGAATAAAAAGAACGAGCTATCAAGCCACAAGATATGCATGCATCTGACATGCACATTGCCAAGCAAAAGCAGCCGGTCTGAAAAAAGCTGCATGATACGTGATTTCCAATTACATGACATTCTGGCAAAGGCAAACCTATGGACAGCCAACACATCAGTAGTTGCCAGGAATGCAGGTGGGGAGGAGGGTGGAAATTTCACTACATAGATGAAGCATAGGGGATTTCTTAGGGCTGTGAAGTCATTGTGTGATACTATAAAGACGAATACAAGACTTTTTTTTTTTTTTTTGGCGACAGAGTCCCTCTCTGTCACACAGGCTGGAGTGCAATGGCGCAATCTTGGCTGACTGCAACCTCCACCTCCCGGGTTCAAGCAATTCTCCTGCCTCAGCCTCCTGAGTAGCTGGGATTATAGGTACGCGCCACCGCACCCGGCTAATTTTTTTATTTTTAGTAGAGACAGAGTTTTGCCATGTTTGCCACGCTGGTCTCAAACTCCTGACCCCAGGTGATCTGCCTCCCTCGGCCTCCCAAAGTGCTGGGATTACAGGCATGAGCCACTGCACCTGGCCTGACATTAAGATTTTGTCAAAGCCCATACAACTTTAGAGCACACTGAGTAAATCTTATGTACATTAAAAAAGAAAAAAAAACCCCACAAAACCAGGCCAGTGGCTCACATGTATAATCCCAGCATATTGGGAGGCCGAGGCATGCCGTAACACCAGCCTACAGTCCAAGAAACAGCAGCAGCTTGGCTAAATGCTTCATCGCCAAATAACGAGGTTCACCAGTTTTTCAGCCCAGGGAAATTGGGTCCTTACAAATCCCATCCTACCTCCTCCATCTTTCAGAATTTGTCATGCAATCCCAGTTATCAATCTGTTATCAGTCAGGGGTCTTATGTGCAGACTTAAAATTCACTCTAGCTTGTTTAAGCAGAAAGAAATCTACCAAAAAAATAAAAATAAAAAAAGGATCGGGTGCAGTGGCTCATGCCTATAATCCCAGCACTTTGGCAAAAGGAGCGTTTGAGCCCAGGAGTTCAAGACCAGCCTGGCCACCATGGCGAAACTCCTTTTCCACTAAAAATAAAAAAATTAGGCAGGAGTGGTGGCACATGCCTGTAATCCCAGCTTCTTGGGAGGCTGAGGCACGAGAATTGTTTGAACCCAGGAGGTGGAGGTTGCAGTGAGCTAAGATTGCACCACTGCACTCCAGCCTAGGCAACACAGTGAGACTCTTGTTTCAAAAGAGAAGAAAAAAAAAAAAAAAGGAAAAGGATCTCCAGATAGGCCAGGGGCAAGCCGCAGGATTTATGGAAAGCAAAATTCCCAAACCCCTCCATAGACTGCTCTGCCAGACACCACACACCAGCAGGGGTGACATGGCATCTGCCATGGTTGCCCCCAGTGCCACACAACACTGCAGGGGAACCCTTGCCAAAGCCAGAGGACAGACGCTTCACACAGCTCTCTCACACTGCGGTGCTGGTCTGATCAGAGATCCCAAGTGCACAACCCTACTCAACCTGCAAGACAGGCTGGGAAAGCAAGTTTCTAGTCTCTTGGGGGGAGGAGGGAAACGAGGAAGTTCCCCACACCGAAAAAGGGGTTTCAAAAGATCACAGATGGGCCACCAAGAATGACAACCGTCTATGACATGGAACCTTGCCAGTTAGATTGTAGCTTATGTGATTTTTAATTTTTATTGAAATCTAAAATTCTTATATTAACTTGGATGTTAATATTGAAAATAAATTTCAAATTTCTCAAGTACTAACTTGCAGGAGATTTAGAAATTATTCCACTATCAGAAATCCATTATAAATAAAGCACTAAGTGATTAATGCAGTTACGGATAATTTTAAAAATAAAAGACTGGGGAGAAAGGCATGCAATAAGTTGTGCCCATGCGAATGGAAATCAAGTAGTATGAGTTGCTTGCAATTCTCTGGTTGCTGACCATGAGAATGTGAAGAAAGGCCACCTAAATGCAAGCAAACAATGTTATTACAAAGCATAACAATAAATGCAAGCATGAAAGGTGGGTTGGAACCATTAGTTTCTGAAATCAAACTAGTCCTTGTTACATTCAGCATGGCACACTCGGGTACTTGTAAGCTCAAACATGGTGTCCGCTTGAGGAATGGTATGCCTAATTCCACAGATAACTAGTTTCAGGGCTGCTTTGGATTCTTTCTGTCCTCTACAATGTTCAATTATGTAATTTACCTCACATTCCTTAACCCCAACTGACTTTACAGAACAGGTGCACTTTTATCATCAAACTCAATTTTATTCAATAAAATAATACCACAAAAGATAAAATGTTATTCTTTTATTTATGTTAAATAAAAACATGAGAAAATCCTTTTTTAAAAAGGGTCAGAATATTCCTTATGTCTCCAAACCAAGTCCATGGATGCAAAGAAATGCTGAGTTCTTGATACACTTTCATGTCATAATAACCAAAGGAGACAACACGGGCTCGAGTCTTTCAGCTGCCACTTAGGAGAGTCACATGCAGTATTTGGGAAAGCAAGGAACAGAACACAGGCATGAGTATTTTCTGGAAATACCTCCTGCCCTGGCAATGAACCTCAGTACCAAATATTTTTGTTTTCTTTTTTGTGGTCCTGATAAATTTTTAAGCCACACATCCTATTGAACTTCAATGATACAATTTCTCACAATTCCAGAATTCTATTAATTGGCAGTACAGTTTATGTGGCCAATGTGGATAATTTTATAAGTTTTAAAATTACATACAATACTATTGCAAATTTTGCCAGTAGAAACATGACCCCAAGGAACTGCCATTTCCAAAACATAATTGGGCACACATTTACAATGCACCTGCTAGGTTTTGAATTCATTTGTCATTTCTGATCTACCCTAAAGACTATGCTTGAATCTCTGAAAACAAATGCTAGATTCATGATTTCTATACCCACATATTCCATAAATCCATCACAAACCCTACAGTCTGACTTAGCTTAACGGCAAATGATTCATCCAATAGGCATGGTATGTTCACAATTCTTCAATCTTATTCAGGTTGTAAAGACGTTTTTCTACAACTGGAGTCACTAAGAATTTCTCTGTTAGAGAAAGCATCATTTTCACCTTTGGCACACTGCCAAGATGATACTTTATTACAGAATTTATGAAACTACAATATAGTAACTTGCAGGCTTTATTAAAAGAAAAAGAAAAACAAAGAATAATTTAATATCACCCCATGTCCCAAAATTTTCTATTTTTTTTTTTTTTAGTGCAAGAAATGCTGCATCATTGAAGCACTTGAGAATTACCATGAAATCTAACAAAAAATGTCATCAACTCAGGAGTAGTAATAAAAAAGAGAAACAACCAGAGAGGCACACAGATTGTTGTTTTTTTAAAAGGATTTTTATACTATATTAAAAAACCACAAAATAAAAAAGGGATCAATCAACATATATCTTAGAAGTCCTTCCAAGAGTCTTGGTATGCAACAGCCATGGAGGCTGTGACCTTTTTCCTTCTTTTCTCAGCCTGCAGTTCATTTAAGGATCACCGGAGATGACTCGTGCTCTAGTTCTTAAAATCAAACTTGTTCTGCCAAATCCAAGACCCTGAATTTGTCCAAATTGTAGAAACATGCTTTTACCACCCGTCCACCAAAATACCTCCCATTCAAGTCAACAACCGCTGAAAGGCAAACAAAAGACAGTTAATATAGGTATCCTATAAGACATTATAAAGATTTAACTTTAATTAAACAGTAACTTTACTTGTAAACATTAAGGCTGTAAACTCAACTTTTTAATTCTTTAATATTTAGCTGTACAACTAACCTTTAATTGCTGATTCAACTCTCTCAAATTCTAAAAATATCCGTACTGCTTCATCATCAGGGGCACCAGGAATCTGGAAGAAAATGAGAGTGTGATGCGTAAAGGGATTTGAGATTGCACTGAATGAGTTTTCTCTTTTAAATGATTTCTCAGAGTGAATCTTCTAATTATCATCATATACAGTCAACTAGTTGTCAAATACCAAGGAAATAAGTATAATTTGTTCATCATCAAAAATGTACTGAATGCCTGTTTTTATGACAGGCATTGTTAGTGCCAGGAACACAGGGCTAAGCAGTTTCTGACCTCATCAAGGCTCTGTGCCAGCGGATGACGTAAACAAATAATTATGTGGTCAACAAACAGCAACAGGATAAAGAAACAGAGTAAGCAGAGTTTTAAGATTAAAAAGGTTGGTGCTCTAGTGGCCTTTCACATCAGGTCTCATTTTGACTAGCTCTGTCTAGCTTTCCTAGCCCACTGTAATGTGGTCCATTCCACCCACCTAAGCACTTCTGCTAATCTCCAGTGGGCCCATCCATTCCATTTTGGTAGTCCTGATCTTCACTGTCTCCTAGGAGCCATTATCCCAATCAGAATACCCTTCCCTGCAAATCTCACCTCTTCCTTTCAAAGCGCAGTCCACATCTGCTATTGCTCACAAGGCAGTCTCTATGTTTTCACTGATCTAATTCTTGTCTCAACTCCTGAACTTAGTCAATACTACCCAGTCTAGTAACTGAATACCCTTTAGTTATTTTTGTGTTTCTTCAACTGAACACACCACTGAGTACAGAGCATGCTTCCTGTAATCCAAGTGCTCTCCGTACAGTGCAGTGCATGTGAAAGGCACTAAATACTCACCAAATGACTGAAACCAAAGGCACGTCTAAGGAACTAAACTACTGAGCACACTAGTTCAAGGTCTTCAGTCACCATACTGATTCTCAATCATGAAACATTCCTGTTTCTTCACCAAATAAAACTCCAAGTCATTCTTGTCTTTATGTTTAAAACTGTAATAATTGAGCAAGAGAAGCCCAAATAAACAATGCCTGTCACCTTCTGCAGTAAGAATATGTTACTTGTAGCATACCCTGTCCTGTATGTAGAAAATGTTTTGCAATCTGCCAATAACAACTTGTGTTATAAACATTAAAAGAAAACACTCTTACTTCAAATATCACACATTTTCCAACTTTGCCATATTTTTCACATTCTTCCTTGGTTTCAACTTCCAAGTCTTCATCCACCTCTCCCGCACCAACCATGTTCTTTAAACACAAAAATAAATAAATTCAAGTACCAAGTATAACTTACAAACACCTAGCAGGGGTATATAAATATGACTTACTTTAGTGATGGTAAATGTTCTCAATCCCAAATGACACAATGAAAAATTTCATCCCCAAAGTACCCAAAAGTTAGTATTTCTTAAAACACTAAAACATACATTAAGCCTGTAAAGAGTTACAAAAGCACCTATGTAAGCACCAAAATGTATAAACTAGCTGAAGCTCTTGCAATTTCAAATATTGAAAGTAATTACTCACTGCAGTCTTAAACACTGTACTTAGCAGAGACTTACACATTAGTGAAAAATCTAAAATCAGCCTTACGTGGGATCTGCCCAAAGTATTATTTGCAAAAGGATCATTTTCAGTTTTAACTTTTAGGGGGAGCAGGGTAGGTTGGGGTGACACACACAAATCTAGGCAGGCCAACAGCTTGCTTTCCTCAGCTTCTTACCCTTAGTAGGACCACTTTAGTAGGACACTTAAGTATTTCAGTCAGTGGATTTGAATCTGACTTCTTGGATGCATCTGTATCAAAACATATCATTAGATGTGTTACAGAACTGAGTCCTACTTATAATAATTTAATTTAATTTCAATAGCGATCCCCACCATTTATGTCCTAAGCATCTACACAATTGGTCTTTAAGCAAAAACACAGCCTTATCTGCAACAAAAGCCTCTGCTTTGCTTTGGCATGTTTTTACAATAGCATCTGGATGTTTTGAGCCTCCATCATTACCTGCAATTTTTGCTCATCTCACTTCCCCAAGGGCTGACAGGGCATGTGAGTGATAATTCCTATAGGTGAGTTGACTTGTAGCAAACGTTCAAAGTCACGGGCCCAGGGGAATATGCAGTTACTATTCCAGCCACCGGCTGCCTTACTTCAGATAACCTCACAAGTCGGGACGACTGCTGGTTTCCGGCACTCACCTGTCGGGCTCGTGATGTATCCTAAGCTCTGCAAGAACAGGGCTGCCAGAAAAGTTTTCTTCTTTCTTTAGCAAAGGAAGTTCAGCTAGGCTGACTCAAACTTAATTTCCCTGATTAAAATGCTAATATATGTTTCTTTCCTGAATTCCCTCAATACAGAACAGACTGTAAAAATTAAATGAAAATAAAACACCAACTAGGCATCATTTACCAAGAGACTGCAAAATAACATTAGATCTCGCAAAGCAAACAATCTGTAAGAGAATTAGAAACCACATCTATACTGAAAGGGCAAGAGGGAAAAGTAGAGAAGACCTCTGAGATGGAGATGACAGGTATATTCACTGCCACACTATATGGCTCTGTCCTTCATGCTCTAAACACATAACCAAGATTTCTTCCTGAGAACTATTCATTTTCTGCCCAAGTCTCTCACCATCTTTTCCTCCACGAGCCTTCATCTCTCTACCTCTGTTCTGAAAAAATAAAGATGAGCCTCAGGATTCCTGGCTTCACAAAACAGAAGTGGCAGTGCATCATATGATCAGGATGGCCTTTGTTCTAGTGACGGCGGGGCCAGCCCTCTCCCTCTGGCCACACTCGTCATCGTCCCCCTGCTGGCATATCAGGATCAAGACTGGCCACGTCTGATACGGACGAGGCCAGTCCTTTCCCCCTAGCCACACGCTTCCCTGGGGACATACCTTTCTCTGTGGCGTCACCCACGATGATCTTGCCGCCACGCTTGCTGGTCTTCTCCACTGACAAGGCGGTGCTCAGCCCCTGCTCGTGCTTCCCCAGACCCTGGCCCTCCCGGAAGCCGTACTTCTGCATGATCTTGTGCGCCACCGTGCCCCTGGCAGGAGGAGAAGGGAAAGGACTCTTAGCTTTGACATCGTCAACTGGAGACAGGTTGCATTTTTCCATCATAACCACCTCCTTCTGGAGAGAGTGCATGCTCCACAGGGGTTTCAACAAAGTCACTCATTAACTAGGAGTGGGCTATCAGATGGAAGCTATGGGGATGTGCAGCATGAGAGAAACAGAAAAGGCTATGACTAAAATCCAGAATATTCTGTTGTCTTGGAGGAGAAATGCCAGTTTCTCTGGTGGAGTCTCCTCAGTGCCCTGCTAGGAAACACAAGACCTTTTGTGTGCTCTGGACCTGCACTGCCACATAGCTTGTGACCACAGTTTATTAAAAAGTGGCTATCAAAAAGTAAGTATGAAGTTTCATATAATGAAGATGATCCCATTTCCTGAATGGCACAGGAGAGTTTCCAATGACAGACTATGTAAATGAAAGAACCCTTAGAGATCACCTATTTAACAAATGAGAAATAAACGGAGGCTAAGATTAGTTGACTAGCTTAAGGGGTGGACTTAGAAGTAAAGCAAGACGCCACATTAGAAATTATTTGTACAGGCCGGGTGCAGTTGCTCACGCTTGTAATCCCAGCACTGGGAGGCCGAGGTGGGTGGATCACCTGAGGTCAGGAGTTCAAGACCAGCCTGGCCAACACGGTGAAACCTCACCTCTATTAAAAATGTAAAAATTAGCCAGGCATGGTGGTGTGCACCTGTAGTCCTAGCTACTTGGCAGGCTGAGGCAGAGAATTGCTTGAACTCGGGAGGCAGAGGCTGCAGTAAGCTGAGATTGCACCACTGCACTACAGCCTGGGCAACAGAGTGAGACTCCATCTCAAAAAACAAATAAATTATCTGTACAGCTGTTAATGGTAGAGCTGAAACTGGACCCTACAACTCTCAGTCCACTGCTTTCTGTAATAACCAAATGGCTCTCACACTGTGCTGTGAGGTGTGGTATGGGGCTGAAGGGCACCCCCACCCCATGACCACTGCTGCTTAGGGCTTAAGCCACAAAACTCTGCTTCAACTGGAACTGCACCTACATTATTTCTTGTATTTAATTCCCTTAACATGTTCATTTGAACAAGCTATTCTAGGGCTAAAAAGACCAAAAACTGCTGAATGGTACCACCTTGCATCTTTCCTAAGCACAAGTTAAAGATGTAATTCCTGGTTAAAAGCAAATTCAGTAAAAAGTCAATTTCTATCATAAACAGGGAAAACAAAACATAACCAGCTTCATGTCTGTCCAACCCTCCAGCACACAAAGCTTCCTGCAGCCACAGCCATGTCCTATGTCTGCACCATCCAACATGGTCACCACTTGCATGTGGTCACTGAGCACTTGAAAGACTAGTGAGTTTCAACTCCACTGGCTGTCTCACCGGCTGCATTTCCGCTACAGGCAGCAGCCAGCAGATGCAACACAGCACAGAACAAAGCGTTCGTGTGATGCCACTTCATGGGACAGCCGTTTCACAGGATCAAAATCAACACCATAGAATATCCTCTTAACCAAAATGTTTGCCAAGCCCAGTACAGTTTAAAAAAATCCTCAAGCCCCACCTGAGTGTCAACCTTACAGTCAACTTTTATATGCTGGCAAGCAAATGTCTACTTGTAGTTAGAATGACCCTGAGAACCATGACCTTAAAGCAAATGGCCCACTTTATCAGGGAAAAAAGTATCACCTGTCCTTTGCAGATAGTAAGTCAGCTCTGATTCATATGAGCTATTTTATTTGCAAATGTCATGAAAACAAATGTAAACAGTTATCAGGTTCTGTACCTGTCTAGAAAAATAATGTTCAACATCAAAATGAGTTAAAACTTCTACTGGAAGGTTGCTGTTTTGAACGAGCCCCATCATTACACTGGAATATGCTCCACATGATTGAGGCAGGCACCGTGTGACCTGCACACACCAAGAGTCTCCCCACAGCCTGAATGTCCTCAGTTTCAAACAAGCGGCATCTGTTGAAAGGGCTATCAATGCTTCACACTGTCTCTCAAGTCCTTAGATAAGAACATTAAATCATTACCCCATGTTAGCGAGGAAGGAGTTGCTAGGCCCAGTTGGAGATCTCGGTCTGTCTTGTTCCTCGTACACTGGGGGAGGAATGGCAGCTTTGGAAGACTGTGATCGAGGTCTTGAGTCCTCTTCATAAGGAAAATCTCGGGGTACTATTGGAGAAATATAAAGTAGTTTCACCAAAATACTATAGAAAACCCTCTGAAACCTCACTTGTATCAATTATTTATCTCGAACAAATTTAACCTACTTTTTGGTTTACCACAAGGAGAAAAACACCAAATCAATTTTACAGCCTTTATATGACTTTTTTTTAAAACCAGAGGAAAGTCACTACTTTCCTGATTCCAGCTTTGCTTTTGCTATTTCTATCTCCTCAAACGTCCTTTTTATACTTTACTGAAATGTTATTTACCCTTTAAAATCTCATTGAATGAATATTCTTGCTGGAAAGAGCTTCTGTGTGTTCCAAGGAGATACAATCAGGCCATCTTTTGACTCCCGCAGCACCTTGTGTGCACCTGTCTAGACCCTGACCTATCTCATCAGCCTCACAGCCCACAAAGGTCTCCGAGGTTAGGGGCCATGCACTGGAGCGGTGGCTTCAACCCTAGTTACATGAAAGTCAGCAGGAAGCTTTAAGACCATCCAGATGCCTTGAGCCCCACTCCCAGTGACTGGTTTCAATTGGGGTTTATTGTTTGTCCGTTGTTTTCACGTAACAGGCATTTCATAACATCTTAGAAATTATCTTCTTTAAAAGATAAATAAAATCCAACAAGTTTTAAAAAGTACTATAAATGAGAATATCTGCTTGGGATAGTTTAGGTATGGTCCAATCCAGAGAATGGGAAAATGACCTAGATGATATTCAGAAGTCCAATCCCAATCCCCAAATTCTAAGGAACAGTGGGCGAGGGTGTTTTGGCAATACAATGACACGCAAACCCACCTGCACTGAAATGGAAAGGGAAGAAAAAAATCTAATCAAGGAAGGCATTGCCACCTTGTGGAGGGTCATGAATATAACAGCCTCTAAACCTCTGAGTTAAAAAACTGTAATGATCTGCTGTTTTAACTCCAAATGAATCTAACAAGTAAGATATGTTAACGAAAACAAAGTGAATTGCATAAAAGAGATGGATTCCACCGCATGAAATCCAAGCCTCAGAGCCTGGCATAGAAAGGTCTCTGCAGGAGGGAGGGCACTGCATTCTGAGATCCAGGTGCAGCCTCAGGTGACAGAGCCAGGCAGGCTTGCAGGTCGTTTCCCTCTACACTCAGGAAACCTGGTGCCCAAGCTGAAATCCCCCGTGATTGGGTTAAAGACCTGTATCAGAATAAAAGAGGAAGACACAGATCTACTTACACTCTTTGTCTTTCTCCACCAGAGAAGTGGGTGGGGCAATGGCAGCGCCGCCCATACCTGCAAAACCACAAATCCAAGCATTAAAGGAGGTTTCTGATGCCAGACTCCCAAGGACTATGACACACCATATATCTATCACCCACCCTCCTAAGAAAAAACTAAAAAGGGAGGACCTGCTACTTCTGATGACCTCCTGCTACACATAAACAAACCTCTGATGCTAGAATCTAAAATGTAGAAAAGCGGCAACACTCCCTCAGATACGCAAAATTGTTCCTTCATAAAAGGAACTCAAGAGCCCCACAATGTAGTTTGCAAATGATCATTTTAAGGCAAAACAATACAACCAAGAGAACCAGCAGAAACTTAAAAGAGAGGAATGTAACTATCTACTGAGAGCAATACCTATCAGGCCCTTTATACACATGGCCTTGTTCGGGCTTCACAGACCTCTGAAGTAGATATTACTGCATCCGGTTTACAGATAAGACAATGATCAGAGGGGAGTGAATCAACAGAAAGGGAGTAAACTCAGCTCCCTGTGTTGCCAAATCCCCCCCACCACACAGCACGCTCCTTTTCCAGGGTGCAAACCACTGGAATTAAACACACATTTGAAAGTGTGGGTCCTTCTGGCTCCTGAAGAAACTGCTGCATGTTGTTACTATTCCTGGTGTATTTCCTGGACAATGAATGGTGAACACAAACAAACCAAAAGAGGTAAGACAGATCTTTTCTATCTGCTATCTGACAACTGGAAGGAGAACATCAGTGGAGACCACAGGAATTTTGCATTAGGTATAAGTCCTAACATACATGGATTATATATACATAATATTATATAATACATATGTATTATACCTTAATCAACAATGAAATAACACAAAATGTAAAATTTTAAAAACTGATTACAAAGTCATGCTGCATCAGCACAAAATGTTTGACAAAAGAAATTAGGCCAGGCGCGGTGGCTCAAGCCTGTAATCCCAGCACTTTGGGAGGCCGAGGCGGGTGGATCACGAGGTCAGGAGATCGAGACCATCCTGGCTAACATGGTGAAACCCCGTCTCTACTAAAAATACAAAAAACTAGCCGGGCGTGGTGGCGGGTGCCTGTAGTCCCAGCTACTCGGAGGCTGAGGCAGGAGAATGGCGTGAACCCAGGAGGCGGAGCTTGCAGTGAGCCGAGATCGCGCCACTGCACTCCAGCCTGGGTGACACAGCGCGAGACTCCGTCTCAAAAAAAAAAAAAAAAAGAAATTATTCTGGCTGGACACAGTGGTTCACTCCTGTAATCCCAGCACTTTGGGAGGCTGAGGCAGGCAAATCACTTGAGGCTAGGAGTTTGAGACCAGCCTGGTCAGCATGGTGAAACCCCATCTCTACTAAAAATGCGAAAATCAACTGGGCACGGTGGCGCACACCTGTAATCCCAGCTACTCGGGAGGCTGAGGCAGAATCACTTGAAACTGGGAGAGGGAGGTTGCAGTGAGCTGAGATGGCACCACTGCACTCCAGCCTGGGCAACAGAGCCAGAGGGTATCCAAAAAAAAACAAAAAAAGAGGCCGGGTGCGGTGGCTCACACCTGTAATCCCAGAACTTTGGGAGGCTGAGGTGGGTGGATCACTTGAGGTCAGGAGTTTGAGACCAGCCTGACAAACAGGGTGAAACCCCGTCTCTACAAAAAATGTAAAAATTAGATGTATGTGGTGGTGCACACCTGTAATCCCAGCTACTCTGGAGGCTGAGGCAGGAGAATTGCTAGAACCCAGGAGGTTGGAGGTTGTGATGAGCTGAGATTGCACCACTACACTCCTGCCTGGGCGACAGAGTGACTCCAATTCAAAAATAAATAAATAAACTATTCTAAAGAATTATTCTAGAGATTATTCTAAAGCCAGTGTCCACGCATTTTGATCAACAGGACTGGATGATATAAAATCCTCAAGGAGAAATATGAACCTGAGTAAAACCTTCTTATATTTCTTTTGAAATACTTCCTATGATCATTTTACTAACCTCGTCACTAGGACCGAGAGTGATTACTGATTCTGAAAAGCAGATTACCTCTAATAAGTTCAGTTAAAAAAATTCAGGGTGATTACTGGAAATCTGCTACTAATCACATTTTTTTTTTTTTTTTTTTGAGACGGAGTCTCGCTCTGTCGCCCAGGCTGGAGTGCAGTGGCCAGATCTCAGCTCACTGCAAGCTCCGCCTCCCGGGTTCCCGCCATTCTCCTGCCTCAGCCTCCCGAGTAGCTGGGACCACAGGCGCCGCCACCTCGCCCGGCTAATTTTTTGTGTTTTTTTTTTAGTAGAGACGGGGTTTCGCCGTGTTAGCCAGGATGGTCTCGATCTCCTGACCTTGTGATCCGCCCGTCTCGGCCTCCCAAAGTGCTGGGATTACAGGCTTGAGCCACCGCGCCCGGCCTACTAATCACAGTAAAATAAGAACATCAATCTGTCAACAACTATACATATAATGGGCATGCCACTACTTCCCTATCATGAGCTACATGGTCAAAGTCTTCTCATTCAAAGCTATCTAGTTCCCGCTGGTGTTTAAGAAAAAAACAAAACAAAACAATGTCCTTAATATGGAAAGCATGCCTCCTTATTAAAAAGGGTAGTCAATTTATAAGCTGGAAAAACGAGACCTACAAATATTCAACCTGTATACTGAATTCCAAAACAAGTTAACAAAAACCAACATCTGAGGATTAACTAAGATAGTGGAGATGAAATGTGTCACAATGCCCAACACAGACACAGTCAATGTTAACTAGGCTTCTCCCCTAAGAGAAACAACAGAGTGGATTCAGCATAGGCCAACTGGACTGTGCTGCAGTAAGACAGTATAGGAATAGATTTTAAGCTAGTCCCAAAGTATCCAATAAATAAATGTTAGAAAGTGGTTGTGAAGCTCCAAGGAAAATATATATGAAAACCCAATATAAATTAAAACTTACGCAAATGTGTATTGCTGGGATTCCAGAAAGAAAATTACCCAAATCAATGTCAAATGAACTATTTATCAAACTGAAAAGAAAAAGCACATAGTGGAATTGTACTTCCACTATTTAAATATATTTAAGACATATTTGTTCATGCCTTACTTCTTTTCCTCCTCTCTCGCTCATAATCTTCATCTTCATCAGAATCTGGATCTGGTCTCCTTGCAAACCCACTTGCTTCATGTCTGTCTTTGCGCCTTCTGTGATAATAAAGGAAATAAATAAATAAATAAAGGATGAACCAATTTAGAGACCTGAACCTGGGATGACTTCCTCTTGGCCAGAAGATAACCAAATCCTTTCACAATCAACTATTAAGTTGCGGGGGTAGGAAGCATAGCTGGTAAAAGATTAAAGTAGATAAAGTATGAAAAGTGAGAAAAATTCAAGAGATAAATTGAGCCAATAACCATATGAGAGTAACCAGCAATTAAAAAAAGGTTCCTTGACGTTGACCTTTTCCAATGTTAAAGCCTATCAACATAGTAATAGTTTAATCATTTCAATAGTCTATAACACTTTCACTCATTAAATGATTCAAAAAATGGGAAACAGTATATTCATATTTAATATATGTTAACTATTTGACAATTAATACTAAATATTTTTAAAAAGAAGAACTACAAATACATTCTACTACTTGTACTTTGCAAAAACATAAATAAAAGCTGCATATGAATTTTTAAAAATCCACCTGGCTCAAAAATAGTAAAGTTAAGAAGAGTATTTTAAGTACTTTAAATAGTTGTGATTTTACAAGTTGAGAATCCCTTATTCCAAATGCCTGGGACCAGAAGTGTTTCGAATTTTGGAATATTTGCATTACAATTACCGGTTCAGCATCCCTAAGCCAAAATCCCCCAATGCACATTTCCTTTGAGCGGCATGTTGGCATTCCAAAGATTATGGAGTGTTTCAGATTTCGGATTTTTGAATTAGGGATAGTCAACCTATAGCAGAGTACCAGCATAGAAAAAAAATTTTCAACATCAGGTTTGTAAGTTATTTTTCTAACAACTCACTCAAAATATACACTTTAGGTCTACAGGTGAAGTTTGCTGTGATTCTGAGATGTAACAGGTACAAATCGTAAAACAGTTTCATTCCTTGTAGTGACTGATCAGATCACCCATGAAAATTAACTTCAGCCTTACAGACAGCAGTGAAGTCCATTCATTAACATTTTAACGAACATTTCAACTGTAAAACATCCCGAAATCCGAAGGAAGCCTTACTTTTCCCTTTCTTCTATTTCCTTTTGTCTTTCCAGCTCCCGCTGTCTCTGTCGTTCCTCTCTTTGGCGCTTCACTACTTTCTCATAATCATTAGGAAACATAGGGTCATATTCGTCAGCTAAGGGAATCAGAACTTCCCCTGCAGAAAACCCACTGGGAACAGGATCCTGAGGAAGGTAAAAACAGCAGTAAAAATCATCTTTATATCTTACCAGTTTACTCACAAAATTAAGGTCAAAGCATATGGGAGATAAAAGGGCCTTGAACATCATCTAGCTCCCTCCTTTGTTTCACAGACAAAGAAAACAAATACCAGACAAGGCCACATGCCTCATCAGGTGGCGGCAGAAACAGGACACAAAATTTCACCTCTTAGATTAGTACTATTTCTATAATACTCTATGGCATTTTTCCTGGAATTCCTAAATAAGCCACTACCAGCTAAAATGTTAGTTGAGTAAAAAATTTGAATATTTATAGTAAAGCACTGAATACTTGTTTTTACAGATCTCTATGACAACTTAAAAAATAAAACAACCATGAACACCACAATCATTCTTGCAGTCATCATTTTAATAGAATAACTTCAGATTCTGATTACATGGAGATAACAATATATGGAGATCTTAGAAACCATCTTCTCGGTCTTTTTAATCCTCAGAACACATGTCCCTTCCCAGGTAGGCTGCATTTCAGGCACTGAGTTTGATACATGGGGATGTAATTTCCCTTCCAGCATCGTATTTTTTTTAAGGTTCACTAAAATCAGGTTTAGATAACAGTTTGTGCTTTCTCATCTATACATTCAGAAACTTGGTCTACTCTTTGAAAGACAAGAAGTAGCCACGACAAAGAAATTAGCAAAACAAGAGAGGCAGAGCACAGCCAGGAAATATCTGAGTAGACACAGAACTTTACCCTAGGCTGGCCTCGGTCTACACGTGGTGCTGGAAGCCCTGACCCAACTTTCCTAAACCTTCCCACACTTTCTCCTGTTAGTTTTCTTAGCATAATTCTTCGTTATTAGCTGTAACAATAAGATGCCTTTTCTCGTTTTCAAAGACACCTCAAACAAGCACAAGTTAGGATTAGTGTCCCCTTTTTGTTAAACACACATCCAAAACAACAAGGATTCATGTCCTTGAGGGCCCAGTCTGTACCTCTTACAGGAGGTACACTGTCCAACTGTATCAAAGGCAAGAAGGTCGTTTGTAAACATGTTTCCTGCTTGAACACAGAACCAGTAAGATTAAGACAGCTTACATGCCATATTACACCTCAATCTAACAGTTCCTTTGTTTCATGGTTGGGTCTGACATTTTGCACTATAAAACAAACACCTCATTTCCTTATGACGAAGTATCAGGAAATGCTATGATCCAATGAATAAGAGCAATTAGGAAAATAACTATAATCACCTCCCAGGCCCTACCACTGGAAAAGATACTTAACGTAGGGCTCCTAAAGGTTAGTTATGCATTTGTATTCATTTTATAAAAGACATTTTAAAAACACAAAAGCACATGAAGATTTATTTTCAGTTATTATTTAGAGAGAAACTGACAATCAGCCACTCAATTTATCTAACACAATTATCACAACGTGTCTAAGAGAACAAACTGTCAATATGAAGGTTCATTCTCTGACACTTCAAAATTTCAAAGAAAAAAACTTTTACGTATAAACCCTGCTATGCTTAACAATGAAATCAATCATCCTTTTCTAAATGCTGCAATGAATAAAGTGATTTGTTCAATTAAAAAAAATTAAAATGTTAATACCCTCAATGCTGAGGAGGGAGGATGGGGTAAAATTCACCCCATATGTCTGAGGTGATACTGTGCACTGCTGGGAGTAAACTGGTGCCAGAACAGACCGGCCATAAAAACGGCTATCTTAATGCCAGCTCAGGAAATCCAAGAAAATAACCCTAATAACACAGAAACAGCTCTGTAAAGATGTTCATTAGTGGGCTGGGTGCAGAGGCTCATGCCTGTAATCTCAGCACTTTGGGAGGCCAAGGCAGGTGGATCGTTTGAGCTCGGGAGTTCAAAACCAGCCTGGACAACATGGTGAAACCTCGTCTCTACAGAAAATTAGTCAAGCGTGATGGCATACGCCTGTGGTCCTAGCAACTCAGTAGACTGAGGTGGAAGGATCGCTTGAGCCTGGGAGGAGGACGCTGCAGTGAGCCAAGACTGCACTACTGCTCTCCAGCGTGGTGACAGAGCAAGACCCTGTCTCAAAAATAAAAACCCCAAAAAGATGTTAATTACAGTGGTATTTATAAAGGCAACGTAAAAGCAAATCTAGGTGGTTTTACAGTCAGGGAATACTTGTGTAAATTATGATGCATTCACTTAATGTGAATAAAATTAAAAATTGATCGTGAAAACTTTGTAACAAGGAGGAAAAAGGCTTACTCATTAAATAGGAGACTAATATTATAGGTACTAGAACCAATACACAATTAGAGAAGAAACGATGAACCAGTTTTTTAATTAGATGTAGTAGGAAAAAACTAGGTATCAAATTTATGGGGGAAAATGCTCAATGATTAGGAATCAGCAAAAAAACACCTCCACCATGGGGTGCCTTCCCACCTGAAGAACTACCAGCCCTCAGGAGCAACACCCGCTCCCCTCAGAAAAGGGTAACTCAAGGCTAAGCTGCAGCCACGGCCTGGCCCAGAACACAAGCAGGACAGGCCGCAGGCGGAGCCCAGCCCAGAACAGTGATGCGAAACGGAGTTTTGGGCAGGAGTGTGCCCTTGGGGCTGCTCCAGCCTGATGCAGCCCTTCCCACAGGTGGTGGAAAGGATAAGCACGCCTTGCTAAGAAACTGTCTTGATAGCACTATTATTAATCTTTTGGTCATTTTCCATCAAGCGGTTTTGTGCGATTCATAGTGTTGTTTAAATGACCACAGTCATTATCTGAATGCCATCTGTGGAAAGATAAATGTATACTTAAATAGTGGGTATAATTTTAACTAGTTTATTCACTCATTTTACCTCATTTTTTCTAGTTTTAACTATGATTTTGAGTTATCCTTTCCAGATTTTCTTCATCCTCAGTAACCCAATTTATAGACTTGACCACATGTTTGTTTTCAAGCATATGTAAAATCACTGGAATCATAAAGGTTAGGGTGGAAGTGGGTTTTAAAACCCCTTTCTCTGTTTTAATCCACAATAAATCAGTAAGTACTAACATTGTTATGATAGCAAAAAATAGAAACAACCCATATATCCAGCATTAAAGGAATTACAGTTCATCTACACAAGAGAATAGAGTGAAGCCATTAACGTGATCATACAGTCCTGTATTTTTTGACACAGTCACAATGTATTAAGTAAGAAAAGCAAGTTAGCAGAAGGTGGAGCAGGCACAGAATGGAAAAATATAAGTTCTTCACTTCTGCAGTGTATGACTGAAGGTAATTTGTTTTTCTTTCTGCCTATTTCTAGTTTCTGATTTTTCTACGACAAATTATTTTATTTCAAATAGATAAATTTCAAAATTGGCAAAACAAAAGTAAAAATTAGGTGGAAAATAATATTGACTTGGTTTCAAAGGCCTACTAAGGAGACCATCTGTTAAGAGTAACATATATGCAAAATAAGCCACATGGAAAACAGGAAAATGTATCAAGGTCACAGGCAGGTGTGGCCTTACCTTCAGCCCAGCTGCTACATGTGGTGGCGTGTCCACAATTTGCCGGTCATCTGAGGAGCCACCTCGCTTCAGGTCAATGACTGGGGCGAGGACTGTACTTTGTTTCGTCCTTTGGCTCTAAAATCATCAAAAACGAGGAAAACATACTGAAGTTTCAAATTAAAATTCACTGTTTGCAACAAATACTTTCTTTCTGGTCCCTGCAACAAACCTTTGAGATATGAGAAAACCATAATCTTAAAACAACAGCCTTTTAATTTATTACTATAATCATGTTATTTTCTTTTCAGCTTTTCAAAAAAACACGAGATTTTCTCCATTTCTGTGAAAGGTTTACGGTAAACTTGGTCACTTTCAAAAGATACCTGGGGATGAGGATTTTGTTCCCTCCTACTAGGATACAGAATCCTTCCTACCTCCTTTATTATAAATCTACAAAAAAAAGTTTTTAAAAGAAAACAATCATTCCTACACATTCAATTATAGTTAATGTTCTACCATACTTTCTTGGCCTTACACCTATATTTTTTGCTACACCATTTGAAAGAAAGTTGGAGACATCATGACGCTTCACCCTAATCTCCTGAAACTGTGGACATTCTCCTATGTGAGGTTACCACCCCTAAAAAAATCACTAATTCCCATGTCATTTCCCATCCAGTTCATATTCAGATTCTCCAAGATATCCCCAAAATGTCCTTTAAACAGCTGATTTTTTTGAACCAGGATCCTACCAAAGTTCCTGAAATGCTTTTGTTTTTTAAGTGTCTTGATTAAGAACAGTCCCTCTTCCCCATCATCATCATCACCATCATCTTCATCTCCTCTTCCTTTTTTCCCTCTGACACTATCTTGCAAAATGCTGTTTGTTCTAGATCTGTCTAATAACTACCTGGCTATTTAGTTTAGCTTGTTCCTCTATTCCTTGTAACTCCTGAAACCTGGAGGTTAAAGGCTTGATTGAATGCAGGGTAAAGCTTTTAGGCAAGAACACTTTGCAGGTGAGGCAGTGTGCCCCTTCCGGCATCACACAGCAGGCACACTGAGTCAGGCTGCCTATCAGCAAAGCTAAGGTTGATCACATGGGTATGCTGGCAACCATAAGATCTTTTGATTAGAAAGGTTTAATTTTTCTCTTTTGCAAGTCAAAGTGTTACAAATTTTCATTACCACTATAAAAGGCACAAAATAAGCCTTCATCTCTCCTGAATATAACAATACTTATAAATTTAAGCAAACAAAATTTAACCCAATTAACAACTCACAAAGTAAATATGAAAGTTTAAAGAATGGAAGGGGGATTTATTAGAATCACATCTTTTCTTTTTTTTTTTTTTTGAGATGGAGTCTTGCTCTGTCGCTAGGCTGGAATACAGCGGTTCGATCTAGGCTCACCGCAACCTCCGCCTCCCAGGTTGAAGCAATTCTCCTGTCTCAGCCTCCAGAGTAGCTGGGATTACAGGCGCATGACACCACACTGGGCTAATATTTGTATTTTTATTAGAGACAGGGTTTCACCATGTTGGTCAGGCTGGCCTCAAACTCCTGACCTCAGGTGATCCACCCGCCTCGGCCTCCCAAAGCGCTGGGATTATAGGTGCGAGCCACCGTGCCCAGTCAGAATCACGTATTTTCTATTATTATTTTCTATTCAATATAGAGTTGGCCCTCTGTATCTACAGGTTCCACTTATCTAACCCCAGGATGAAAATATTAAGAACATAAAACAATACAAGAAAAAATACAAATTAAAAAACCAATACGGTATAACAACTTTTTACACAGCATTTACATTGTGTTAGGTATTGCAAGCAATCCAGAGATTATTTAAAATATGGGAAGATATGTGCTGGTTATGTGCAAACTCCACACCATTTTATATAAGGGACTTGGGCAGTCTTGGATTTTGGTATCCGGTGCGGGGGGATCCTCGAACCAATCCCCTGTGGACACCAAGAAACAACTTTGTATTTTTCAAATGGAGATACAAATGAAACCACAGCTTCAAATTTTCTCTACCAAATAAATATCTTTACAGGTTTGGCTAGGCCAATCTAGTATTCTGAGTAACTAAACAGCCTAAGAGAATGCAATCTTCATTTCCCTTAAACAAACAAACAAACAAACAAACAAACCCACAAAACTAACTGTACATAGCAATCTCAAAAGTTTTAGAAAGTTAGTAGAAATAACTTCACAAGCTACCTCAAATTTTAAAAATCTATATGAGGCCGGGCATGGTGGCTCACATCCACATCTTTCCTGCAAAGCAAAAGTTACATGAAATCTACAAAGATTTTATACATTTACTTTTTTAAAAAATTAAAGAGAAAAACGAGGTTTTGCTAACCTTCCTTACATTTGGAATGAAAACTTGCTTTAAAAAAACAAAAAATACTCGCATCCAAAAAATCTAAATTTGGTAATGATGAATTTTAAAAAGACAAAAAAACTTCTACAATACTGAACAATCAAACGTAAGCACTTCCATGTAAGTATCTATTGATGTGGTAAAGGGAAAAGAAAAATGAGTAAAACTTTAAAAAAAAACCCTGTGTATTATGGAAATTTTCAAACATGAAATTAAAGAGATTATAAATTCTTAAGTCTCTGCTATCCAGTTTCAACCATTACCAACTCATGGGTAGTTCTGTTCTTCCCTCCCTCCCCTGCCTGGTACTGAATTGTTTCGAAGTAAATCCCAAAAATGACATCATCTTATCAGTAAATATTTCAGCATGTATCTCTAAAGTACTTTTTCTCAAGTTTAATTATTGCCTCCCCAACAAGGAGCCTTTTAATACATTTTTTCCGACACATGAAATTTTAACACTGTGCACAATATGAGCAAGATTTTTTTGCCCCCCAAAAGACCAACATTCGCTCCGTTTGGGGGGATATAGCCTCCACTGCGAATGCAAACTCTAGAGCATAACGACCTCTAAAATAGTAAACAAATCATACCATTCTCATGCCTACATTTTAATGGCAAATATCCAGTCGACAACTATGTTTTTAATGTTTTACATGTTGAGTTATTTCAAGGACATTGCCAATATCCAACATGCACACAACAGAAACAAAAGCAATTAGCATCCAGACTACATATGCCTGACACCTTCACAACCAACCCCAGCCCTCAATAAGTTACACCCAGCAGCTTAGGTATTCTGTGGAGCTTCTTCCCAAAGTGCTGCTTCCAAACTACCGCCAACAAACCAGTAGGAATGCTACTTAAAAATGCCCACTCCTGGGGCTCCAGTCTAAACTAGAGTTTACCAGAATATCAGGAGTATGGCTACACAATCAGCACCTTAAACAAGTTCTCACTCAATCTTAGACCTCCACTACTTAAGTTTGAAAACCAGTGTCACTGCTGGTTCAGAGTACCAGTTTTGCTTTGTTTGTTTGTTTTTTTGAGACAGAGTCTTTTTTTTTTTTTTTTTTTTGAGACGGAGTCTCGCTCTGTCGCCCAGGCTGGAGTGCAGTGGCCGGATCTCAGCTCACTGCAAGCTCCGCCTCCCGGGTTCCCGCCATTCTCCTGCCTCAGCCTCCCGAGTAGCTGGGACTACAGGCGCCCGCCACCTCGCCCGGCTAATTTTTTGTATTTTTTAGTAGAGACAGGGTTTCACCGTGTTAGCCAGGATGGTCTCAATCTCCTGACCTCGTGATCCGCCCATCTCGGCCTCCCAAAGTGCTGGGATTACAGGCTTGAGCCACCACGCCCGTCCTGAGACAGAGTCTTGCTGTGTCACTCAGGCTGGAGTGCAGTGGCGCAATCTCTGCCTCCCAGGTTCATGCCATTATCCTGCCTCAGCCTCCCGAGTAGCTGGGACTAAAGGCACCCACTCACCATGCCCAGCTAATTTTCTGTATTTTTAGTAGAGACGGGGTTTCACCGTGTTGGCCAGGACGGTCTCCCATCTCCTGACCTCATGATCTGCCTGCCTTGGCCTCCCAAAGTGCTGGGATTACAGGCGTGAGCCACCGTGCCCAACCCCACAGAGTACTGTTTTTCTTCATTCCTATCCCATGAAATGTTCCTATTCCCAGGAGCCAGGAGCAGCAAAGCGGCCTTAAACTCCTCATTCCTCTCCCCCTACAAATGTTTAACACCATTTACCCAATACAAAGGCAGAAGAGCAAGCTGAAACCAAACTCCTTGTCATCCTAATGAGCAACCCACTCTGGAGGCCTCTGCTCTCCTGCTCTGGGCTTGTCTTTACCTTTGCCTGAGTGAGAGCTGCCTTCTTCACCTGAAGCTGAGACTGCAGAAGTTTGAAGTTTTTGGACCAGCCTTCTGTTTTTGAGTCACTGGTCTCCACTCCTAGGTCATCGTACAGGGACATCTTTTCTTCAGTTTAATGCTGAAAGGCAAAAGGGGTGGGGATTAAAGAATGCACAATTCAATAAAGGCTTTTCATGTTAAAATAAAAATCACGAAATTTTAGAGGTAAAAGGTCCAGGACCTTTCAGCAACAGAGGCCAAGGCTCCTGGTACCATTAATGCAGGGTTCTTCCCGATATATGAAGCTACACCATGTATTATTTTTAAAATAAGGCTCTAGAATTCATTTTTCCATCTACAAGACCATGCAGTCAGGTGATCCATGAGTGAAATCCTTCAAAGCTAGGGCACATAATGAGGTAAGAATTGAGACATTATTAATTACATATATCCAATGTTTAAAAAATTCTATTCATGTCAGTGCCAAAAAGTAGAAGCCTTAAAAACACAAATTACCAGGTTGATTTAGCACAATTAGCTACCCTTTCATAAAGAAAAAATTTAAACATACTCTTAGGGAAAAAAGTGACAGAAATGACCTCTTAGATGTGATTTTGTCAATTACGATTATCGGCGGGGGGGGGGGGCGGTGCTGGTTATATCTTAAATACTATGACTTCCTCATATCCCCCCCAAGTGGAAACTTGTCATCTTTAATGATAGCAATTACAAAGAGACAATCAACAATCTGCATGTGAACAAGCAACACACAGCTTCCGTGCAGAACAGAGGAACACGTGAAAACAAAAATCGAGTCAGCAGGCACAAAGCATGACATGCAATGCAGCATCGGCAGCAGGTCCCATGAAAGCCCAGCACTGTACAGACATGGATGCTGGGGTTTAGGGAATCAATCTGCCCAAGGCCACAGTGGAAGCCCCTTCCAACCCAGCCAGGCCAACTCCAGAGCCCTCACCAGTGAACCCCAACTGCCACTTTTAAAAAAAAACTCAACATTCCGAAACCCACCGACATGCTTACTTCTTCAAATAAGAAATCAATCTCACAGACAGAAAGAGAACATAATTTAAACAGAAACCCACAAGTTGCAAGCAAATGCTTAGCACAGTAGTTCCCAATTTATGGACAAATTCCCAAAGTCTGTCAGTTCCCAGGGGGCCCATAAAGCATTTTCCCATGGAAACAGTGTTATCGAAAAGCCTAATTTGCTTGTGTTCTGTGGCTCAGAAGAGAAGGAAAATATTTAACACACATCCTCCTTAGGTCTGACTCGGCAAGCATTTCTCTTGAAGGTACTCTTACTTCTCAGCTCCTCCATTACCAGGATTCTAACACCCTGCCACCCCAACACCTTAGCTGATGTTGGTACCACACTGTTTGGAGTGAGGGACGGAGTGCACACCAACTTCTGTTCCCTCAGAAGAACTGCCCTGGTCTTAAGTACAGGAACTCCCTGCCTGAAGTCAGCATCCAGAAAACTGGTACCACTTTTTAGTTTCTTCCATTCCTTCATAGGTGAACCCTCCGATTAATTAAAACCTCTCCCTTTTCCTTCATACGTGAACACTCCGATTAATTAAAACCTCTCCATTTTGATTTTTAAATGAAAGGCCCCCCAAGGCCGTACAGAAGCAGGGAAAGCAGACTGTCCAGGGGTATCGACGGCTGACTGCGCAAACGAATCACATTAAGAATGAAGGGATGGCGGCTGCGGTGGCTCACACCTGTAATCCCAGCACTTTGGGAGGCATAGGAGGGCGGATCACTTGAGGTCAGGAGTTCCAGATCAGCCTGGCCAACATGGTGAAACTCTGTCTCTATTAAAAATACAAAAATTAGCTGGGCGTGGTGGTGGACGACTGTAATTCCAGCTACTCGGGAGGCTGAAGCATGACAATCGCCTGAATCTGGGAGGCGGATGTTGCAGTAAGCCAAGATCACACCACTGCACTCCAGCCTGGGCGATAGATCGAGAGTCCGCCACCTCCCCTCCTCCCGCCCCCGCCAAAAAAAAGAATGAAGGGATGCTGGGATGCAGACAGACTCTCCTCCTGATTGACATCTTCATTGCCAAACTGCACTTTCTCAGGAACTTGGGGATGACGTCTCATGACACAGGCCTGAAGCACTGAGGCCAAATCAGGAAAAAATAATGAACTCCATTCTTTAACAAATATGGCTGAAATATAACCATGTCCTCAAAGTCTTGGAGGGAATCTCCTGATGTCCACTTCAGAGCCTAGTTTAATAACTCTGAACTCCAAGAAAACCTAGATCCAGTTTGTTTTGTTCACTGCTCTATCCTCAGACTAAGATCAATATCCAACCCACAGCTAAATAGGAAATGAGGCCAAACTGCAGTTTATACTCCATTTACAAAGCCCTCTCAATTAGAAATTTCTGGCCAGCAATCACTGGCCAGAAGGAAGAACACCACACCAAATAGCTTTTGAGGTTTTTGTACACTTTTCTTCCGGCTTACCCAGAACTCAAAACTCATTGTTCACATCTAGATACATATCCTTAAATTTTAATCTAAAAACACTCAAACAGCAACAGTAAAGAAAAACAATGCTGAGAGTCCAGCTTAGCATTGTGGCTCCCAAAAACACTTCTTCAGAAATGACCATGCACCTTTCATCTAACTTAATCTTTTGAGTCCTCTTCATCCAACTGGTCACCAAACCAAGCCTACTGAACTACGGGTTCTTCTGTTCCTTCTTTATTCTTAAAATGGAAGGGGAATACTAATACATTCTGAGAAATAATGTGACTTTCTGGAAAATCACAAAACAGATAAACCAAAATCTGTTTGTAACTCAAACTAAACTTTACTTTAGATCATTGCTTTTCTCAATACAGACTATCTCCAATATGAAAATCTGAAATCCTTCGAATCTGAGCAACAACATGACCCCAAAATAGAAAATTCCACACCAGGCCGGGTGTGGTGTCTCACACCTGTAATCCCAGAACTTTGGGAGGCTGAGGCGGGCGGATCACGAGGTCAGGAGATGGAGACCATCCTGGCTAACATGGTGAAACCCCGCCTCTACTAAAAATACAAAAACTAAATTAACCAGGCATGGTGGCGGGCGCCTGTAGTCCCAGCTACTGGGGGTGCTGAGGCGGGAGAATGGCGTGAACCCGGAAGGCGGAGCTTGTGGTGAGCCAAGATTGCGCCACTGCACTCTGGCCTGGGTGACAGAGTGAGACTCCATCTCAAAAAAAAAAAAAAAAAAAAAAAAATCTACACTTGACTTCATGTGATGGGTCACAGTAAAAAATGCAGTGAAATCTTTTTGCATGCACAAAATTATTAAAAGTATTACATATATTGCATATTCAGGCTATGTGTAGAAAGTATATATGAGGCATAAATGAATTTTGTGTTTAGACATGGGTCCCATCCCCAAGATATCTCACTATGTATATGTAGGCATTCTGAAAATCTAAAAATACCCGAAATTTGAAACACTTCTGGTCCAAGCATTTTGGGTAAGGGATACTCAATCCATTTCTCTTTATAACTTGAGAACTTTACCAAAAGTGTTTATGAATACGTTAGTGCCACCAGAAATGTGTTAACCAAATGCCCATTAAACTTCGAGGGGAAAGACTCATTTATTTTTGCATCTACAATTTCTGTCATAGAGTAGGCATTTAATAAGCTTTATTAAAATACTAATAATGGGCTGGGTGTGGTGGCTCACGCCTGTAATCCCAGCACTTTGGGAGGCCAAGGCAGGCGGATCACTTGAGGTCAGGAGTTTGAGACCAGCCTGGCCAACATGGTGAAACCTCATCTCTATTAAAAATACAAAACTAGCCGGGTGTGGTGGTGCATGCCTGTAGTTCCATCCCAGCTACTTGGGAAGCTGAGATAGGAGAATCGCTTGAACCCGGGAGGCGGAGGTTGCAGTGAGCCAAGATCGCACCACTGCACTCCAGCCTGGATGACAGGGCGAGACTCTGTCTCAAAAAAATAAAATAAAATAAAAGATAAAATATAAAAATGTGTTAAAATGGTAATTGGATGTATGTTTCACTACACATAAAAAATTTTTTTTAAAAGAAATAGGCAAAGAGGCAGCACTGGGGAATAAGGGAAGGAGGTAAACCCCAGGGAGGGAGGCAACACTCCTCACCCTCCCCAGAAGAGTCAACTCTGATGGAAAGAGCTCTCTAAACTTTGAGGTTAAAAATCAAGCAGCGTACTAGATCTCAGCTGCCAACAGTTCTTCCATCAATAGATTCAATATTAAGCAAAAAATTCAGAAGTGAATTAATGAGGTTTTATGAGACCACACATCTCCTCTGATTCCATGCCATTTAAGATGGCTGACTGACAATTCCAGTTGATTTGCTGCATTGTGCAAAAGTTTCAGAAACCACTAGGCAGCAAATCTCATTTAAAGGTCCTCATTTCTCTTCTGAAACCTGCAAAGTGCTTTAAATATTAGAAACTGATGTCATCTCACCAGCATCTGCTAGTTTTCTCTAACACTGAGCTTACAAAATCAAATCTCTGCATCACAGCAAATGCAAAAGAGCTTTCTTTGTTTTTCTCATTTTCACTGAACTTTAAGTTCACAGAATGGGATTAATCATAGCAACAACACACTCTCATCCATCCACATATGTACTACCTGCTTTTGTTTAATTATTATAATGCTGCAAGCACCTATGATTTCACCGCCCAAAACAAGACAGGAGCTAGACTCAGAAACCACACTCAACCACACTGCTGCCCCAACCCATTCATGTAATTTCCCTGGAATCCTGTTCTCATTATGTCCTTGTTTTCCTCCTTTTATGTAATTTTATTTACAGTTTTAGTTAATCTATTCCTTAAAAAGTGTGTATTCCTTATTTTAGCTGTATTAAGCATTTATGAATATACAATAGTTAATTCTCCCCACCGCAACTACTGAAATATAGTAAGTGCATTAATAACACTGCCAAGACCCAAACTTACCCTAATTAACGTTGACATATTACTTAGACAACATAACACACTTATTTCATTAGGTCTGCTGCCAGGTAACAAAAAGTTGTACTTTCTAACAATTGGATATACCACAAGAAGCCAGGATCAAAAGTAAATACAAATTGCTGGGTTTTATAACTTTAAAATATTTGCTATTTCCTTCCTTTTTGTGGCAACACTACGCTTTGAGCAACCCACGTTTCATATATGCTACATTTTTTCTCAAGAAACATAACAAACATGGTTCTGCCAGAAGGAAGAATGTTGAGTTTTCAAGATTCCACCCAAGCTGGAAAGTATTTTTTTAAAACATGTGCAACTGGCAGGAAAAAGAACATGGAAGTGTCTTCTCAGAAGCACCCCACCTACTTATCTTTCAAGTGCATCTCAGAAGCCTTTAGTGACTATTGCCCCCACATAAAACTAACTCCCCCCAATTGGTTTCCTCAAGCATACTCAGATCACAGCAACCTTGGCAAGTTATGCTGCCTATTGTTTCACACACCTGTTTCTTCCTGCAGTGTAAGCCCCCTAAGGGCAGGGGTGTTTTTTATCTTCAGCTTTGTATCTCTAGCTTAGCACCATGATTGAACACTGTAAGTGGCTCTATTAATATTTTTTAAATGTGTTAGTCAAAGGATGAAAAATGTTAATGCACCTATTTAAATCACATTATTATGAAACAGTGAGATCTGCAGATCTGCTTTTTAAGCACATAACTTATAAGTAGGATAAAATTTAAACTGTAAACCACAATTAAGGAGAGAAAAACTACCACCACCACACAACCAATAAAGAGTCGAGGTCTGAGTTCTGAGCACCTAAAGAGGCAGGCTTGTTAGGAAGAAATATTTCTATCACTAAATAGATACTCATGCATCATAAAACAAAGCATGCCTCTTTGAAGTCTAAAGAATATGGCAAGACTGGGCCCAGTGGCTCACGCCTGTAATCCCAGCACTTTGGGAGGCCGAGGCAGGAGGACCACCTGAGATCAGGAGTTCGAGACCAGCCTGACCAACATGGTGAAATCCCGTCTCTACTGAAAATACAAAAATTGGCCGGGCATGGTGGCAAGCGCCTGTAATCCCAGCTACTCAGGAGACTGAGGCAGGAGAACCATTTGAGCCCGGGAAGCGGAGGTTGCAGTGAGCCGACTTGCACAGCTGCACTCCAGCCTGGACCACAGAGTGAGATTCTGTCTCAGGAGAAAAAAAAAAAATATGGCAAATATACATAGAAATGAACAGGAGGGGAAACAGAAGGGGTGGTGCACTTTGGTGTCCGCAAAAAATACAGCTAAAAAAGCATCTACTTCAAGTATAAGCTCTACCATGACTTTCTAAAGAATTAAAAAAATTTTTTTTTCCCATACCTCCATCTGACACCCTTGTCAATTTAATCTTTCCGTTCAATCTCACACTCTGCTGTTACCAAAATGCAAACAGTCGAGTAGAGTCACCTGTAATTTAGGCGAATAAACAGAACTTCCTTCACTATTGACTATTACGAAAGGTTTGAGACATGACTAGCCCGGGATCATCTGTTCCCTGCTGGGGGGAGGTCTGAAAAATTCCTATGTAGGGGAGAATGGGAAGGTAATTTAAAGCAAACCAGGTAAAAAGAAATCCACTTTAAATAAAGTTGCATTTGGGAATGTACAACAATCCTCTCAAGTGCCTCCAGAAACGCTGTCTTTGGTTCCAGAGAGTTCCACAACCGCACAACCTGCTGTTATAAACTAGACAGCATGCATCACCTTGCTTAACTAAAAGCCCTCTCGTTTAGCTCGCTAAACTGTTACCCCACATTCCCTAAAAGCCGTCATTACGGTCAAAATATCCGCAGCATTTATCAACTAAAAATGTGGAAACCGAGTCTCACCCTTTTAAAAACTCCATCTGCTGCGGGGAGCCAGTGCTCATCTTGAGTATATGCGAATCTTGCCCTTATCTAGAATATCCTATTTCCCATCCATATGCCTGGCTCTAGCAAAATAAGGATCCCCAACGGCGCTCCTTTACTGCTTCTCAAGAAACCTCCGTGTTCTGACCTGACTACTCCTCGAAACACCCGAAACACCCGCTCCTCAAACCTTTCTCTCTGCCTTACCTGCAGTTTCCAGAACGCACTACGAGGCTTCACTTCTGCTACTTTCGCACTTACCGCCTGGAGCCTTTTTCCCCAGCTCCCACCATCTAACAAAGTACCTTCAAGACTCAACAGAAGCATCACCTCCTCTCCCAAGAGAGGTCCTTTCAGACCCTACTTGCGTCTCTCAGATCAACCCGGGCCTGGGTTTTCACGCCTGCTTTCCTAGAAACCAAACTCCTGCGAGCAGGGGCAGAACCTCCTTCCACCTGCATTCCCCGATCATTACACATCCTCTGGGCAAGAGGTGACGCTCAAAGACTGCTTGGGGTCGGCCGCCAGCGCTGAAACACCGCTCAAACAGCACGAGCCGAGGCGACGCCGGGGTCAGGCCTGCATTCCTGTCCTAGCGAGCTCTGGAGTCTGGGAAGCGCCAACGTCTGCACTCCCAGTTCTGAGTCCCGGGGAGGAACCGGCTTCTTTCTCTGAGCCCCGGAGAGGGGCAACTGTGCGGGGTCAGGGGGGACACGCTCCGGACTACTGGGGTCTAGTGACCGGACAACTTCGTCAGGATGTGGCCCACGAGGTGAAGGAGAAACGCTCTTCAGTACCAAAGAGCCAGAGGCAGACAGGAGGAGGAGGAGGAGGAGGGGAAGAGGGAGGTCAGGGCCCGGGTCACCGGACGCGGCGGCGGGCGGAGGGTCCCGGGATGCAGCCGCGCGGAGAGACCAGGGCCCGCCGCGGGGACTGAGACCCCCCGGAGGCTCGGACTGCGCTGGCCCGGCCCCCGCCCCTCGCGACGGGCCTAAAGCCGCGGCCTTGCGTCCGGCGCCTCCCGGGAAGGCGCGCCCGCCTCAGGTCCCGCCAGGCCGCCCACCCGGGGCCGCCGGGGTGCGACTTACCTGGCCCGCCCGGCCGACTCTGCCCATGGGCCGCGGCGGCGGCAGCGCGGAGCCGGGCGGCACTCCGCGGAAACCCGCCGGCGGCAGGAGGCCTCGGCGGCGCCCACCCTCCGCTGAGTCCTCAGGGCGCTCTGCGGCGCGGGGTCAGGGAGCGCGGGCTGCCGGGAGAGCGCGCCCGCGCCTGCGCCGCGCCTGCGCCAGCGCCTGCTTCGGCTTCTGCGCCTGCGCCGAGGGCGCCTTGCCGCACTGCCCCCTGCCCGCGGGAGGACCGCACTGCACGCTCCCCTCCGCCGGCGTCGTCTTCTACCGTCAAGAGGTGTCGCCCTGGCGCACATTTTCCAAATTCCACAAGGTTTGGGGAGCGCGGCAGCGCCCCTAGATGGTGAGGAGGAGAAGTGGTCCGAGGCCCGGCTTTCTGATGGGGAGGTGGGGGAAGTCCCTCCAGGCCCCTCGCTCTCATTCATTCAAAACCTCTCCTATATAAGCAAAAAGTTGAAAATAAGTCTGCATAGGCGAGATGCTGCAAAAGGATGGCAAGGAGCACGGGGTTAAGCGTGAGATTAAGGAAACAGATGCCGCGATTAGGGGTACAGAGAAGAATGTCAATGCTATAAAGCCTCGGTCTTTAAAAACGACATCGCTGACAGAAGTAGGGAGGGGAAGGGAACGTGGGACTTCGGGTTAATATGATTTTTACATCTGTAATTGGGTCTCAAATAAAGTTGAAGCCGATAAATCAAATAGTAGAGATTTAAGCAGACGTCTTAGTCGGAAGGAATATACCAAGAAAGTTACTATAATCCATTAAAATCCAGTGATTAAGAAAACGGGAAATGGGGGAAAAAAGAAATATAGTGGAGAGACAAAAGACAATCTAAAGAAAGAGAGGATTAAAGACGTCATGGGATGGTATAATTCTGAGGGTAACCCAGAACAAAACTACAAAGTTTTCAAATAATCCACACATACATGCACACACACACACACACACACACATACCCCCACAGCAAAACAAACCAATATAGGGAAATATTTGAAAAAGTTACAAAACAGAAAGCACAACCAAACTATATGACAGAACAAGACCAAATGTCTCACAAGAAGAAATATAGACCTAAGCTTACCTATTAAAAAACTACAACCTCAGATTGGAGCCCAAACCATCATGCAACTCAGTGTTGTATACAAGAAAGTACTAAAGTTATTCTGAGTTTGAAAAATACAAGATTGGAAAAGCTATACCAGGATAATGCAAAAAATATTTTTAAAAATCAGGAATCACAAACAACTTACTCAAACGTTGATTTCAGGGCAAAAAGCATTAAGTAAGAGTAAGAAGGGCATTTTATAATCTTGAGAAGCACAATTCACAATCAAGAAAAAAATGGGAAAAATAGGAAAATCTTTGCACCAAATCACATAATCTCATTATTCATAGCAAACACTGTAGGAGTGAATGAATAGGCAGAAATAATTGGCACATTCCTTGCCAGACTAAGGGTACAAAAAGTAAATGAGGATTGAGAATACCTAAAAATACAATTCCTAGGATAGATATCAAATGCTGTCCCCTAAATAGACATAACATCTTTCCTAGTGTCTAAGGAATATTCACAACAATTAGTCCTATTTTAGACCACAGAGAAAAATCTTAATATAGTCCAGTAAGTAGAATCATATGGGTAATATTATCTGCAGCAATTCAATAAAAGTAGAAATTAATGAAAAAAAAAAAACAGAAAATAAAGCATGCCTACCCCTTGAAAATTTTTAAATGCTCAAATAACACTTGGAACAAAAAGGAAAACAAAATCAAAATAACATAATATCTAGAAAAGTATGAAAACGACATACTCATGGGATTTAGCTCAGATAGTACTAAGAGGAAAATTTATGGTTTTAAGTTTTTGTATCAACTAAAAACTTGGAATTAAGTGAATTAAGCACTTGTGAAAGCAACTGGAAATAAAATAAAAATGTGAAAAGCAAAAGGAAGTACTTGGTCAATAAAAGAAGCAGAAAGTAATAGTGTGTAAACAGAAAAAGGAAGAAGAGCAAAGATAGAAGTTGTCTAGACTGGGTCTCTCCCCACCCCCGATCAAAGCACAGGTGGGTGTGCAAAGGCCCTGATTAGGAGGCCCAGAACTGCAGGACTTCCTCCAGGTTGAATCTGCTGTCTACCCATACTCCCTAATCTGCTTGGCGTCTCCACTCTGCAGTCTGAGACCACTCCTTCCTCCCTTTTTGGTTGAAAATTTGTGCATTTGTTCCCAAATCATTCCATCATACATACGCAAGTAACTTTTTGGTTTACAGACCGTTTAGGAATTTTCTAGTTTAACTTCCAGAAGGAAAGCTGCCTTACTTCATTTCCTAGTACGTGAGCAGTCTCATGCTTGCCTGCATTTCCTGTCAACAGTAACAAATATCTTTATTTTATGCACTGAGAATCCAAAGCTTAACCCAATGGAGGAACAGAACCCAGGCCATGCAACTACCAGGAAGCACACACAAAACGGTGGAGCTTTAGAAGAGGGACAAGACAGAGGCGCTGGGGCGCCCCCTCGAGGCTGCAGAGCAAACATAGGTAGTGACACCTGCGTAAACAAGTAGTGTGATCTTCTCCAGCTGTGCTCCGCGCCTGGCGGGAGGCAGGCAGGCAGCAGATGGTAGAATTCATGGAAAACTGGGAATTAGCAGGGCAGCTGTTCCAGGAAGAAAGAAGATAAGGGTGGTGTTTGGGCTAGCAGGAAAGGCTGGGTGAAATGCTACAGTATGCAGCATGGATGGAGCCGAGGGGACCCCGAAACAGGGAAAAGAAACAGGTGCAGGCCCTGGAGGGAAGACAAGCTAGTTAAGACAATTTGATCAGATTATATTTTGATCAAAAATAAGTATTCCCAGGGATTCTGTGTGTAGATATGCTTTCGGTGCACCGTGGAGAATGATTTTTGTCTCCTTTTTTGTATCTTTTCTTTTTTTTTTTTTTTCTTTTTTTGAGACGGAGTCTTGCTCTTGTCGCCCAGGCTGGAGTGCAGTGGCGCGATCTCGGCTCACTGCAATCTCCGTCTCCTGGGTTCAAGCGATTCTCCTGCCTCAGCTTCCTAAGTAGCTTGGATTACAGGTGCCCGCCACCATGCCAGGCTAATTTTTTTTTTTTTTTTTTTTTTTTTTTTTTCAGACGGAGTCTTGCTCTGGCCCAGGCTGGAGTGCTGTGGCGCGATCTCGGCTCACTGCAAGCTCCACCTCCCGGGTTCACGCCATTCTCCTGCCTGAGCCTCCCTCCCGAGTAGCTGAGACTACAGGCGCCCGCCACAACACCCGGCTAATTTTTTTGTATTTTTAGTAGAGACGGGGTTTCACCGTGTTGGCCAGGCTGGTCTCGAACTCCTGACCTTCGGTGATCCACCCACCTCAGCCTCCCAAAGTGCTGAGATTACAGGCATGTATATCTCTAAGCAGCTTCGTCCATTTCAGAATTTTTTCTTTCTTTCTTTTTTTTTTTTTTTTGAGATGGAATCTCGCTCTTGTTGCCCAGGCTGGGTGCAATGGCCTCATCTGGGCTCACTGCAACCTCCACCTCCCGGGTTCAAGCAATTCTCCTACCTCAGCCTCCTGAGTAGGTGGGACTACAGATGCCTGCCATGAAGCCTGGCTAATTTTTGTAGTTTTGGTGGAGACAGTGTTTCACCATGTTGGCCAGGCTGGTCTCAAACTCCTGACCTCGAGTGATCCATCCGCCTTGGCCTCCCAAAGTGCTGGAATTAAAGGTGTGAGCCACCACACCCGGCCCATTTCAGAAATTTTTAAGTGTTTTTCACTATATTTTTTGTCTTTCTAAATCATTCTCTACAGTTATTCCTGCTCTGTAAGGTTTCTAATAGCAAAAACGTAGGAACAAACTAGCGAACAATAACAAATTAGGGAAATTCAATTATATTGAGACACAAATAATTTACATGGAAGGATTCCATTTTTGTTTTAAAAATATATAAATATATACAAAGTATCTATAAGATATTTGCCAATATGGTTGAATCCAAATAGGGATTATAAGGATTCTTCATTTTCTCAAAAAAGAGAAAAATAAAAGTAAAAATATAACAAAGGAGATTATCAATTTTTAAAGTACATAGAATTTTCTGAAATCTTTTTTAAATTTTAATTCATCTTCCACCTAATTGGTGCCTGTTCTGCTTGTCTGACAAGATTTTCATGCATTTTTTAATTACAGTGATTAGTTGAAAACTAATCGTTTCAATAAGAAATTTACTTTCTTAAAAATATAATTTTGTGTGCAATTTATGACTTTCATATGGATATTTTTTATTTTGATATATTTTTGACACAGGGTCTCTCTGTCTCCCAGGCTGGAGTGCAGTGGCACAATCACTGCTCACTGCAGCCTGGAACTCCCAGGCTCAAGCAATCCTCTCATCTCAGCTTCCCAAGTAGGTGGGACTACAGGCGTGCACCGCCATGCCTGGCTAGTTTTTTTGTATTTTTTTTTTTTTCTGTACAGAGGGGATTTTGCCATATTGCCTGGGCTGTTCTTGAACTCCTGAGCCCAAGTCATCCACCACATCAGCCTCCCAAAGTGTTGAGGTCACAGGCATAAGCCTGCACCTGGTCTCATGTGGATATTTTTTAAGTGCCAAGTTTACATATGCACACACCTAAAATGCTCAATAAAATGATAAACTGTTTTTATCCTTTTCCAGCTGGGAGGTTCCCACTCCTTAGCCAATGAGGCTAAGAGCTTCACCTGTGAGTGATGTCTCCTTGGGGCACTGTTATCCTTTCCATTGTGCCCTTTAGTGCTATCCCCAGAGAACAGGCACAGAACAGCAAACCTTGCTGCAACGCTTTGAATGGGAGTACAGCTTTGAGTGGCAACCTTAATGTGGTCCCCAACGTG